TAATTATTTCAACGAAAATTCATTATTAAAAAATTGTGCAAAATTCCAATTCCTATTCTTTGGCAAGATCTATTTTCGTTTAAACGAAGCTTTTATTCATTTTTAATTATTTTTAATAAAAATTCGTTTTTGAAAAATTGGATTAAATTTCGATTCTATTCCTTGGAAAAGTCCATTTTGTTAAAATGAAGACATTTATTTATTTCTAATTATTTTTTGTTCTTGTCGAAGACAAAAAATTTGTAATATCTCTAGAAATGATATTTACAAAGCACCTTCGTTGGCAAATCGTTGAAAAAAATTTAGAGGGCTTATCAGTTCTACAAATTGCTAAACACTTAGATCCAGCAAGTCTTCTAAACTATCTGCTTCAGATGGATAATATTTAATTCTTAAATCTACTTTGATACTTTTATTTAATTTTGGATCCCACTAATTTTAATCAGTAGTACTAAAATTTTTCAATATATAAATAAATATAAATATATAAAATTTTTTACTTTGATAATACTTCATGCATCTCGACAAATATTAATAATATCTTGGTCGCTTAGAATCCTGGCCTGAGTTTCATTTATAAACCAGTCAACAAATTCATGATCATATTAACTGTTTTAATAGCAGCACCTGTTCGTGTAATATATTTGTTATAAAAGTCTAATTTATATCTGGTCTCTTTTTTGGATTTCTTGCTAAGGTTTATTGACACAAGCAGTCTTTTCCATAAATTTTCATGCACACTAAACACATCAAGCATGTTGGACAAGCATTGGAACAAAAATTCAATAACATTGACATTATTGTTATATAATGGATCATGCCGAAATTACTAACCTAACCGAATCGGCCAAACAATCATTCGGCTAATTTTTATCAGGTGTTTCAGGAATTATGATAATAGCTGTAACGTTAATTAATTATATATTCTTAAGCCGGGTAACCCACTTAAGAAATTCAAAATCAGATAACTCTATTCTGAATTATGACAACTGGATTTTGAATCGGATGGGTTTCAATCAGAGGTAAAGCACATACTTAAACTACAATTAAGGATGCGAACTTAGAATAATTAGGTCATGTATGTATATTGAATAGAGATGCAGTAGAAACTATGGCATAAAAACAGTTTTTGCCACATTAATAATATCAATTCTTTCGATTATTATATTATTATCTTTGAAAAATAATATATGAAATTATTTAAAAAACAGATTCATATGATCAATGTCACGTTGAAGTTCTCTGATTGGCTGATATCGATTGATACGGATAAAAAATCGGATTTATAAGTATATAAAATAAAAATTCGGATTTATTGTCCGCCTTTCAAAAATAATATCCGTTATCCTTTTTATATCCGGATACATCAAGCACTAATGTTGGCTATTGTGATGAAATTAAACTTTTCTTTCAAATTTTAAAATATTCTTACTGACAAAATTATCACTTTTCGAATTAGGTGTGATAAATGAATTTCGTCCTATGAAAGATTCACGAAATTTATCATCGAAACAGCGATAATAATAATCGAAGAATTTACTGGTTCAAAAAAGTGTTACTTATTCGTAGCAGGATACAGTCTCTTTGATTAATGCTTTTGATAAATTCTCGCTTACGCATATAAGGAATTGTAAGACATAAAAAATTTAAAATTTGTGGATAATAAAGTTCTTTAATAATATTCTGCTGTTGTTCATGCCTACTTTAATTATAATTTTCCCATGTGATCACATCATGATCAGAAATCTATAGGAATATAAATCACAAAAACGTAGGCAGGGTATTGTTCATTTATTTCCTGTGAGATAAAAATAAGTACAGAGAGTTTGTCCAATGATCATATGATAAAGACCCATCTGCATCATATAATCACTCTGTGCTTATTCTCAATCACCTAGAAAATAAATAATATAATTTATTCGCTAAATTATTGATCTATCCAATCCTCATGGTAACAGCAGAGGCGCAGGGCATGAATTTCTATTTTAATGATTTGCTTTTCTAATTCGAGAACTATATTACATATTGACACTATAATAATAGCTTTTTACAAATTCACCACCATAACTAATAGGAAAGGAGGTGGGAGGAAGTCTAAACCCAAAATACAAATATAACGTATTTTGAATGTTAGATAGTTATGAATATTTAAGAAACGCTACTACTAACGCAAACGGTAGGAATTTCGAGGCGAACATGACCATCATCTCCGCAATCGCTATATGAATCAACTGTTTGATGTTGAACCACTTGTACTTGAATTTTTGTGAATATTTTTTGAAATGAGTTACGAACTGATTCGCGGAATGAACGGCGAGATTCCCTTGATGTAGAATTAGTAGTGATTGGCGTGAGAACCAAATTTGTATTTGAATTAGATCGCCCTAAGAACCAATTCTTCCTGGAGTTTGTTGGAGAATCATGGGCACTTTTGGTAGGCGTTAGATCATAGATTTTGAGTTTTGGATTTGATTGATTTTGTCGGTGTAATAAGGATTCGTGACGAACATATTGGACGAATATTAACACACCACTAATAGATAAGCCTATTTTTAATGAATATATATTAAAAATATGCATGGATTTTATCAAAGCAGTAATGCAAATTTTGCAAACATAAAATATAAATACCAAACATGTAATATACTCCTATAACCACAGAATCAACCTACAAAAAAAATATGCTATATAGTTAGTTACTTATATATTCACTTAAAGGTAGAATTAAATAGTAATGAGCTTTTTTGAAAAAAAAATTTTTTTACCATTGCGACTTGAGTAATAGTATAGATGAATAGAATAAGCTATTAAAGGTATTTAAGAAGGGAATTAAATGTTTAGATTGATATACTGTATTATAAATAAAATGAATAAATTTTAAAAAAACAGAATAATAAATATTCACCAATTGAACCCAGACAGCGAAAATATAAGAAGTAATTTTCTCTATCTCTACAAAATGTAGACTGTTGGACTCATTCCCAGCACCAAATAAATTATTTTCATGAGATTCGTTTAGGGTATCATCAGATTCATTTTGAGTTGAACTTTTAGCACTTTTAATTCGTAGTTTGAGACTTATGAAAAAGAAAGTAGTGAACAGAAGGTAAGCTAATGATAGTATAAAGGGGATCATTGGTTCGTTTATAGGTGAGCACCTGTTTATAAATGTAAAGGTTTGATGAAAAATTAAATTTAATTAACAAATGATAATGACAAACGAATACATACCACCAATTTAAATTTTTTTCATTGTCGATGTCAGCTGCGGAAAAAAGTATGGAAAATATGGAAGAAATCAAAAACATAACAATTTCATCCTTAATGAAAATTTTATTCCTCGTACTGAACCGAATTAATAACGAGACCAGTATTGCTAAGTTTGTCATTAAAGATAAGAAAAATATTGACATCGCTCCTATCAAATTACAGGTTGCTACATCTAATACTCTACGTTTGGCTATTATACTACTCTAAATATATTAATACTAATAATTAATACGGTACAATCAAATGGTTAACGTTAATTAGTTAATATCTATATACGTACCAAATGAAATATATGTAGAATGGACATGCAGAACCCTGGATTTTTTTTTGTTTTTTGAAAGAAAAATCAATATTTTGGAAATTCAAAAAAAAAAAAATATGTGAACAGACTTTACCGATAAAAGAGAGATAGAAAGGGAATTTAAGGCTAAAAGTTAATGGTGAACGATCCCTCCAAATCATAAAGGTTCGGTAAAAAACAAATAAGCAAGCCGCCAAATTCAATAGTACAAACAATAAACTGAATCCGGTCGCCAAAGAGCTATACGAATTAGAACTTCGTACTTTACTTTTAGTGTTCGTGGGTATATCTGCATTTACTATCTGTGAAGTTATAGTAAACAATAACAAAATAGAGTAGCTCTTCATTATTGCTATTTTATTTTTATTTTTTATAAAAAATGTCAATATATGATAATGACTTTTGTCGGTTGCAGTATGAAGAATATGTCACCTATAAGATGAAAAAAAAAAGGTTTTCGGCTACCAGAACCAAAAAAGAAAAAAAAAAAAAGGAAGGAAAGATTGCAAAAGTGCTAAGAAAGTGCAATCAAATTCGTAGTGAGTATTTTCAATTTTTTTTTTTTTTGTTTTTAACCGATCAATGGCACATTATTTGTATAAATTCATACAGTTAAAACTGATCCACTACTCTTCAAGGAAGATCTGTAAACGTTTCAACTCATCGAAACACGTACATAATTAAGTATATATATATATTGCACTATATTTAATATAACATATATCCAAAATGTGATATTACAAACATAATATATGTAAATTAGGATTAGCATTTAATTATGACGTTACTTTTGGTAATACAACACTTCATTCTAGCGTTGTTTTAAACATTTTATTGAAACGATTTAGCAAACATTAATTAATTATGCAATACTTATAAAGGATCGTTTATTTTTTATAAAAAAACAATGACAAGAATGCAATGGAGACCGAAATAATGACGAATAAAATAAAAGTAACAAAGATTTCAATAAACACTCACTCAGAATTTGATTGAGTGATGAGCGAAAGAAATGAGAAAAGTTGTCGCAATACTGTACTTACATATCCAATTCAGCTTCAATAGTCTACAGTAAAAAGAAATTTAAAGACTCCCGCATACATGTGAGAACATATGTAAGAACAACTTAGGAGTCTCTTAAAATAATAACTAGTTCACGAATATTTCTTATTAAATATTTAAAAATTTTTTAAAAAAGCATCACATTATTAATCAAATTTTTAACGAAAGTATCTGAATGATAAATGTCAAGTCAAAGTTGGCTATTATTATTACTTACATATACATATATATTATTTTTTATAACGTTCTCGTCGTAATTTTTTTCTTCTAAACTTTTTTATAACATCAACTAGACGCGTATTCTTTCAGAACCTACTACGTTTTACAATTTTCGTATTCGTATACAGTACATCAATTATCTGTTATTTAAAGTTAACCCCGATTTGGAGTTAGGTTTATGCAAATAACATAACGATAAAAGAAAAAATAAACAATTGAAATAAAATAATCATGTGATATACCGTATGAATGAGGTTGCCTTATAATAACTTACATAGAAAAAATGATAACCAATTTCTTTGTATAAAACGGAACAAAAATGAAATTTTTAAGGATTTTTTGAGATAAAATGAGCAAATAAAGGAATATAAAGTTTGATTGGCCGATTTTTATTGGTTCATTATCATGTGACTAGACATCTCAAGGCGAAGATCAAAAATAAAATCTATTTTATTGGCTAAAAAACATTTTTATCAAAACGCACTTAATGTTTTACACCCATATATATAGTAATGTTGTATCCATATAGGAATCGCCGGGTTATCCGGATAAATTACTACCGTATGTCACATAATAGCAATTTCTACCTGGGTACAATCCCTAGGCCGGGTTTAGGATTTTCAAGCGGGGTACTCGGCTTAATATACTAATATACTAATCCTAACACTAACCTTACTAATTATGAAGTTGGTCCCTTTTTCTTCATCAAATTGATCTGTGACTATCAAGATATCTTCGCTCAAAGTTAGAGAAAGATTAAAATGTCTATCAAACGCTGTGACAAATTTTTTTAAAACTTTTTTGAGGATTCTAAACTCGACATCCCAATCCTGAATTAGGACAGCCGGATTCTGGATCGAGCGGATTCTTATCTGCCTAATAAATTGTCACAGATCGTGAAATTTAAAAATCCCATTGGCTGATCACCTAACCTTAACCAGATGCGCTAATTCACGATCATCCAATTTCAGCATCATCCGTAGTGTTTCGATTAGTGTTTCGATCCTAATTTTTAAGGACCATTCGGATTAAGATTCGGATCCTCTTTGGTGTATCCGGATAACAATCCGAATTTAGGTAGACCCGAATTCAATTATTAAATCCGAATTCTATCTATGGTTAACATGATTTACTAAATTGCCCATAGCTTTGCTGGGACTATTTTACGTGTAAATAATGCCATATGGCCTTTATCTAATAGAAGTTACTTTTAATTGCATGATTAGAAATTAAATCCTGTAAGGTTAAAATGATTAAACGCATAAGAGCTCTTACAGATTTTCGTTTGGCATCCTGGGTTTAATATTCGAACTAATTCCTTTATTAATGCACTGTATATCTACTAAGTAATAATTATTTGGTTTTAGCAGATGAATAAATTTTTTATTAATCCGAGTAATTAATATATCAACTAGATTCATGAAAAGTTATTATTCTAAATGCCTTTTTCGTTCACGTTTATCGCTAGCATAATAAGTTCATTATTAATTGAAGGAAAATTTTTATTATAAACAGGCGAGCATTATTTACTGATCGATAATTTAATAAAATATAAAGCCATGAATGCAGCATAATAATGCTACGTAATAATTTTCCTTTCATTAAATTTCAACCATAATCAATATTTACGTCTCTCTCGATGACCAATCACATAAAAGATTTCTAGGATTATTCTTCCATAATCCATAAATTAGGATTCATCAGTTAAAAATTAATGGATACGAATATCCACATTTAATCCGAATTATCGGATCCGTCCGATAGGTCGGATTACTGATCGAAACACTAATCATCTGTAACATATACCGGTATTTAATTGTTGTTTTAAGTAAATATATATTTCAAAAATCATTGTACCTACTAACTCATATATAAAAATTTTTAAGCTAAAATTTTTCAAAAAGGGCGATTTTAACGCTTACCAGAGGTGAAATTCACCGGGTATGTTGTTTCTAAAAAAACGGCTTTAATAATTAGCGTTCGATAAGCTAAGTAAAACTGTTTAGCATCCTAAAAAAACCTAATCTCTACTGAAAATTAATTATATAAAAATAATATCAATGGGCCATGCAAATAAAACTAATTGTTTCTCATAACATATTAAGATTAAATAGCACTCGGGATCCGGTTGTTATTGTAAAATATAAAACTTTGAAAATTGCAAAACTCATATCTCTAAATGTTACCATGGATTTAATTTATTTCATTAAAAAGTTTATAACAAAATAATTTAATTGGCTTTTTCGGATTCGTTATAAGGTGAGTTGCCATATAATGAAAGCCAATCCATTAATATAAATATATATGGAATAATCGAAAAGAACTTTAATAATATTAATTAATGATTCGCATTGATCTAGTCTGAAAGTATAATTTAATGCACGCTATTCACTTATTTGATTTTTATTGCATTGACCTAGTAGTTCTCAACATCTCGTTCGATGAATCTGAGATAAACTTTAATTAGTTGGTAAATTGAATAAACTAATGAATTCAATTTATTTAATTACTGATTAATTAAAATTTTACCTCCGATTCGTCAAGTGAAGCGTTTGAAAACCCTTAATCCGTGATTAGGAATGGGCAAAATTTTTATATATCCTCGAATATTCTCAAATATTCTTAAATATTCTTGCATATTCTTAGATTACGTTGTAATAAATAATTCTATTTAAATATACACAAATAATATTATTGTTATATTAAAATAGAAAACTTTTAAATTTAGCCTCTCAAGCACTTAAATTCATAGGTCAGAGTTCGATTTTTAATTAGTAGAAAATAGTTTAATCTCTCACTGAATTAAATTAAGAATCTGATTGGCTAATTCGGTCATACAGACCAATCAGATTCTTTGTTCAGTTTATTGGCCTCTGACCAATAAGTGTAAAATCATTTATTATTCAAGTTTTTGAAGTAATCTGCGCTATTATTATTATTATTATTAATTTCTTATCTAGGCGTTCTCAAGCTTAATCTATGGTCGAAGTGCCAGGGAATACATTTTACTTGGCGGAAAATATTTTAAGCGGGTCAATTGTGTTTATAAAGTTATTACGTAATTCAAAAATTTTTTTTATTAGTAAAAAATATTAAAGTGATTTGTCATTTCAATTTATTAATTCAAACTTTTTTTATTCGTAAGAAATATCAAGTGATTTATCATCTCAATTTACCAAATCAAACTTTTTTTATTAGTAAGAAATATTAAGTAATTTATCATTTCAATTTACAACCAATTACAACAACCCATCTTTTTTTATCCCTGGCTTGGAAAGTTACAATTAATCGAGTTTCAAAAGATCGCTCAAGTAATTTTGCCATGGATCCTCGTTCTCGACATCGATGAATTACTAGTTTACTCCTTATTCTGAAAGTTTTCATGGGAAACAAAAAATATGGAGAAACCCGAAAAAAAATTACAGATAACTATCATCTCTAGCCCATATTCATACAACAACAAATTCAACTATTCTATAACTTTTTCATTTGGCACAACAACCCATATTCGTTACTTGCTTGATGATTTCTTTTTTCTTTATTTTTTATTTCATTAATTTT